GGTGTAGTTTTAGTATATATTGTTATTTTAATGTTAATATTATATTATAAATGATATCTCTGTTTTAGTACCTGTGATAGTAGGCTGTATTGTTAGTGGTGTAGTTTTAGTATATATTGTTATCTTAATGTTAATATTATATTATAAATGATATCTCTGTTTTAGTACCTGTGATAGTAGGCTGTATTGTTAGTGGTGTAGTTTTAGTATATATTGTTATTTTAATGTTAATATTATATTATAAATGATATCTCTGTTTTAGTACCTGTGATAGTAGGCTGTATTGTTAGTGGTGTAGTTTTAGTATATATTGTTATTTTAATGTTAATATTATATTATAAATGATATCTCTGTTTTAGTATCTGTGATAGTAAGCTGTATTGTTAGTGGTGTAGTTTTAGTATATATATTGTTATTTTAATGTTAATATTATATTATAAATGATATCTCTGTTTTAGTACCTATGATAGTAGGCTGTATTGTTGGTGGTGTAGTTTTAGTATATATTGTTATTTTAATGTTAATATTATATTATAAATGATATCTCTGTTTTAGTACCTGTGATAGTAGGCTGTATTGTTAGTGGTGTAGTTTTAGTATATATTGTTATCTTAATGTTAATATTATATTATAAATGATATCTCTGTTTTAGTACCTATGATAGTAGGCTGTATTGTTGGTGGTGTTGTTCTAGTGTCTGTAATTATTGTTATAGTCATATGGTAAGTTTTCTGATTTTAATATGACCCACGTGAAATAGATGCGATAAAATCTAGTCCTTAGATACCAATTCTCATTTTTTGGGGGCTATCCCGTTCTGTATATTGATGTAGTATGTCGTTGACAAAAAGTCTTTGCGACAGTTATAAGTTATAAGATTTGGTTTTCTTGAAATGAAACAAGAATTCAGCCCCAGCGCACTACATTGAAAATGCATCGCGTTGATGGTGTGAATTTATTTTCAGTTTCCGGAAACGCAGAAATCAGAAACCCCAGAACGACCAGAACGTATTGGATCAGAATATTAGAAATAGTGATAGAAATATTTACCTTACCACGATACCTGATAGACCCAGTCAAATTCAACATCAGAATACAACCGACACCTTATCAAATACAGTGTATAGTAGTTTAGATTCAAGATACAATACTTCCAGTGATTTAAAACCATATGAACAACTACCAAAACTAGAAAACAGCCTAACAGAACACCAGGAAGACGTACCGCATATAGACAACGATTACGATATTGTTGTGGAAGGTTCGAGTCCGGATAATGAAATTCCTTCAAATAACGTTTATAGCAGCCCTGATCCACGAAACAATACTTCTAGTGACTATAGACTTTACGAACATCTTCCAAAACAAGAAAACGATAATACGGAGCAACAAGAACATGTTTCAGAGCTACAGGAAGACGTTCTGTTTACAAACAACGATTATGTTAAATCGAAGGAATAGGTAACAATAATTCAAATGACCATACAAACATCATTCAAAACACGAATAGTCAGACACTGAGCAACAAGAACATGTTCTAAAACATAAAAAAAAATGTTCCATTGCAATACGAAAATATTAAGAAACAGTTCAAATGATTTTGCATACCAGCAACCAGTATACTAAAGAACATGGAAGTCGAACTCGAGTAATTTCAATTTGGAATATTCGCAATCAATAAAGTGTATAGTAGCTTA